GGACTTTCTAAGCTATGAGTACCAAATAAATAAACAATAGTAAAGAAAAGCGTAGAGGAAAAGGACCATTATTTGCTTATTCATTTGAAGTTGTCTTAAAATCAGCTTAGATTACTTATGTAGGAATAATTCCTTCCATACATCAAAAGCTGTAATTAGAAGCAAAAAAAAATGGATAAATAATATCCATAACCGGAAAAAACATAGTCAATATTGCTAGCAGTTTGTTACACAAAAATTTCAAGAACCAAAAACCATCTTTTCAAGACCATCAAAAAGATCGCATTTACCTGAGTAAACATAACTTTCCCTAATGTTAGCACATTGCATCAACTACAAATGGCTGCGGTTCTGCCTCTCCATGTTGATTGCAGCAAATTCCCGTATCTCCCTCTCAGATGGTGAATCAATTCCAGTAAACCGCCACTTTCGGTCATTTGTCTTCCATTCAATCTCGCGCCGATCGTCTTCATAGGCCGGATTCAAGGCTTTGACAGTATCGTGTCGAAACACGCCGTGATCAGCCAGCCAGAGATGCAGTGCTGTGAAGACATGCTCTTTGGGGTTATCCCGCGTTTCCAGTATAGCCCCACCAAGAATAAAGGGAACTAAAAAAAAGGGAAATATCGAAGCCAACGATAGGTGCCATAGGTCACTGCCCCAACCCGTCCGCGACGTTCCTCAAATGGCATCGGGAACACACGATTGATTGTTTCCAGCATGCGAGAGTGCCGGGTGACCTCCGCCTTGGCCTTTTTCACCCAAAGCTGCGACATTACTGTTTGGCTATTATAGGAAAGGGTCACAATTTACTACTACGGTTATAAATCAGTTTCCCTAAATTCCCATGATACCCCCCAGAAACAAAAAAGAAGAATTATACTCTGATCACATGAAAATACTAAGGGTAAAGCCAAATATAACAAGTTATTAACCAGAGAGGTGGTGGTAATTTATTTGCCTGTGTATAAGGTAATATTCAGCAATACTATACTGTACAAATTGGATCAGTTTTATGCCCAGTGTGATGTTTGCAGGCGATGAAAGAGATATTTGAAAAATAAAGAATGCTTTATAATAATTTACCTGAGTACCATGCATACTTTTAAAGTGCATTTTCTTGCATATTCGGAATGCGACGTTTTACGGTAGAGGGGAAGAGACCCAATTTTCCACAGACCCACTAGTGCGTAGCTTGTGATTTAAATTGGACACTTGCTTTTCCAAAGAAGCAATGTTCCTGATATATGTTTTGTTCCTTTCTACTAATTCAGTGACGCGACAAATCAGCATATGATTTCCCCCCTTCAAAATACTTAATGCCCTTTTCAACTTATGTGAATCCTCATCCAAACTATTATCAATATTCCGTAAAAAAACATCGCATTTCTCGGATGTGGGAGAATTTACTTTATTAAGCATTTGCTCTTTTGGGGGCACGTCTATTTTCTCTTTGGGAGTTGATCTATCCTTATCGTCACGATTAGGTATCTGCTGTAATTGATTGGTTTGTTCTTTATGGAACACGACGGAAGAACTATCCGCACCTAATATGGGTATGGTGGTTTTATCACACGTGTTGCGTGGAAGTCCTGTATCACTGGTAAGGGAGATGTCGAGTTCTATTTCTTTACATACCGCAAACGGTGGAATCTCACCGCTAGTGGTGCTTATATCAGAGTCATTCCCATTACTAAATATATCTAGTTTATCTTCGCATTTTCCACCCCAAAATGATTTATTCTCCTTCAATGAGGCGCCAAGATGACCTAATTGTTCAGTAATATATTTCTCTAAAAAATGTTTTTCCTCCTGCGCTTGATGAAGTTCCTTCTGTGCCCGTTCCGCCACCTCACAGGCCTTGCCGCAGCGGTGCTGATACGCCTCACAGAGAGTCCACGCATCATTCAATTGCCGATAGAGGGATTTCAATTCTTTTTCTAGCATCAAACACCGCCCCTCTACCTGTGTGACATCCACTGACTCTGAATCTTGAGCGAGTTTTACCAAGCTATGCAAAGTGATGGCTTCTTGTTGAAACAAAGATGCTTTCTGGCGCGCTTCATCAAGTTCACTTTCAAGCTGTGTACAGTAGTTTTGTAGTGCATCAAACTTTTCCTGTGGAATTGGTAGTTGACACACTTCATCCTTTTGACTGGAACAACAACCCAAGTGTTTGATCTCGCTTTCGTGTTCTTGGATCATGAGATGCAGGGTATTATTTTGCTCTTGTAATACCTCGATTTTCCTTTCTAGATTCTCGATATTAGAGATGTCCTGAGAGAAGTCCTGACATAAATACCCATACCTTTAGCTTAAGGAGCCATGAAAAAAAAAAGAATAAGTGATACATTAAACAGCAAATAAAACAAAAATTACATAGAGGTAAAAAGGATTGAATCAATAATAATCTGAAGCACAAATGGAAAAATACCAGCTGAAGTTTTTGACACCTTGCTCCTGTTAATGGCGTAGATAGCGTTAGCAACTATGAACTTGTCCATGATTATGGGCAGGTGCACAGTCTCACACTTGAAATTCACTAAACCCCTATGTTTTTGAATTCATTGGCCTCCATCCAATCAGAAGTAATCTTTTGGTGGATTACATTGGATTCTGCCGAGACTTGCGATGCATTTGAAAAGCCAAACCTTTTCTTGAAAGTATCATCGTCAAAGTTGAAGTGCACATTTTTGTCGGTTGTTATCATTTCACCTTTCTCTATATCACGCAACGCTTGCATAATGAAATAATTATCTTTAGGATTAGCCCTCATTTTTTTATGCTGCGATATCAACAAAAGCATTTCCTGATCTGGATAACCGATGGAGGCATTTGGTGTAGGTGAATGCAAAGCCAAGTCCAAGACTGGGACCATTCCCATGATGTTCCCTGTTCCTGCCTGTGTAAAGTCAGAATTCTGAAAATATGGATGACCTGTTCCCCACGTCCCATGTGAAACCCAAAAAGGAATGGCGTGCCTTCTATACAGGCAATATGCATGTTTAAAAGCAGCATCAAAATCACTTCTACTCGCCTTGCATTGTGTTAACAGAGCACGAATGGACTCCTGATAGCCTTCTGTGGTCTGCGCGGCATTAACCGCAGCATCAATAGATGTTTTCTGATTGCATGGAAGAATATCTAAATACATTTTCATCCCACGTGGACTCCCTGTGACCAAAATCTTAGTCAAAAATGAAATAAAGACAAAATCTCCACGTGTTAGGTCCTGGAAAAAGTGTATCGCGTTACTGTAATTAAAGGGAGAAACCTTAAGTGGAAAGACGATATCCTCGACCACATCAAAGATGCTTAATGTGGACCCTACAGGTACAATAGCAACAAAATCATTCTCTGGAATTCGTTCGGTAGCTAAAAGGCCATTTGGTGTGATATGAATACGTTGAAATAAACGGCAACCTTTTACAATTACCCACGTCACAAAGTCAAGTAATTTTGGATCGAACTGTGAGAGACGAACACTCATTACCTTTCTGAAAGTATCAAAAGTAAAAATATAAATAATGTAGAATGGCTTTTGAAATTCATTTCAAGAAAATGTCGGTGTTATACATGGATGCAATATATACATATATATGCCTCATTCCTCTTTGGAACTATTCCTATGGAATACACTGCAACCATGGCAGCCTTCCTTAGTTTGTGTCCGATATTTATTCCAATCACCTACATAATGCATCTTCAAAGCCACCACAATACAGGAGACGTCAAATTAGTTACAAGTAACAAAATACAATTAAATGTTTGTATTCGATATATTCTTTTCGTTTGCATCTTCATTGCTTTCTACTTTCACAACACTTTAACCCTTTAGATTTGAACACATGAAAATACGAATAATAAGTTGCAAAAAAAATGGTTTTACTCTAACTCCACAATATCCACCAAGTTTCGAACCTCTTCCACAGATATGGGAGTAGTTCCTGGTGGTAAAGCGAATTCTCGCCTTGGGTGCAAACGTTCGTTTGGTTGATCAAACCCAATAATCAGATCTGTCTTAGATTTGGTGATCACGCAGATGTCTACCTGTGTCCCGCTATAGGGGTCATTGAAGATACCTTTGCGGATGGCAGACGCTACTAGCTGTTGCGCCTCATCGCACGTCATGCCATCTTTGAACCCAGATTCAAGCGCACCCATGGCAGCAATGCTACCACTGCCCATGCTCACAAATGGAAGGCGGTCTGTGCTCCCATGCGGGGCAATGGTTGCTAGATATGGACCCTCCACATCCACCCCACCGAGAACAAGTGCCGCGCAGACATGGCCTTGGTACTGGTACAAATGACGCTTAAGTAGGGTAAGTGCCTCGTGCACGCGGCTTTGCTTTCCCGATTCCAGCCTGTGCAAAGATAACTGTGAGGAAACCATGTTGGTGACGGACTCCGTATCGGCAGCAACCCCAGCACCGCAGCACATGATGTTGGGGGCCATGTAGTGAATCTTACGGCATCGCTTATCCGCGACAATACTTTCTCCCGTGGCTCGAGTATCAGCACCCAAAACAACACCATCCCTAAAAACCACGCCAACAATAGTGGTGCCTGTTTTCAACACACCTGGCGGCTTATAACCATGGCTCGCAAGCCTCAAATTTCTTTCAACGTTTTCGAAAGAAAAGCCTGGCATTATCTGATACAAAATCGTAAAAGGCGAAGTGATACCAATGGTTGACTCACTACTAACTATAACAGAATAATAACAATAGTTTGATTTGTTCTTCTGAAAAAGGGGAGGAAGAAACAATTGAGATAAAAAAAGGTTGTAGCAGAGAATCTTATTTTCCCTCTTCCTTCTATCAAGGGGAATGCAAGAGTAGAAAGAAAAGTTTCTTTTCTATCACATCAACAGCGAGAAAATAAATATATACAGTAGGCGCAAAAACTGCCCACTTCAGCGATAACTAAAACTGTATCTGTTGAAAATATATTTCGCAAACTACTTCAACATGAGTGCTTCGAAAACCAAGATCAGAAAAAACGTTGAAACACTGCGAAAGTGAGAGTAATCGCATCTTATTCCACATAATCATGGAGATTTCTTTAGATTAGTGAAATCATATTTATCCTTAGGTTCTAAGTTCATCCAAAAATCTTCGCCTTTCTTTTGGCGAGTGTCACGATCCATCTCGTTGAACTCTTCAGAAAGGGACCCCTCTAGTGCGTTTGCTTCTTCTGATAAAGGAAGTTCAGGCGACTCAGAGGCGTTTGGCGCAATCATCTTGTTTGCCTCATCGAATGAAACCGTATCTGAGAGCTTTGCACGTGGTTCATTTGGTGTGTTACCTGCGTATCGGTAGGCATCCTGCACGTGTTCCTGTATCGCTGCTGCCAGCTTCTCCTTTGTGCTATCCACGTTAGTCAAGTTTAACTTGACAATGCGACGCGAAACGGGGTAGCCAAATAAGGGTGGAGGAACTGCTTTAAGACCAAGCTTCAGTCGCTCACGTCCCTCAATATTCGGTTCAAGAATGCTAAAGATGTAGTAGTGTTTGTACTTTGATATTTTTCGGCATTGCTTAATGTGTACAAGATCGCCCTCTACACAGGCCAAGTCCTCGTCATGGGCAAAAAATCGACTTGTACGGGCGACCCTTTGATTAAACTTAGGATAATACACCATGTGATTACTAGCAACAATCGCCGTCTTAAGCATACTTGTGCCTACCACGTAGCCAATTTTATCAGATCCTTGGCGGGGCTGGTTAAAAATCATTGACGTGATATCATACGGCCATGGCATTCGGCGTGGTCGCTGTCCTGCAATACCGGTCATACTAACCGCCCAGTGATGTCTAGTACGATTTGGAAATGCATTGCGACGGTATTTTTTAATAAACACACGATGGTTAGCATTATGAGTGTTTTTCACACGAGCACCACCGTACATAAGAACACAGCGCTGACGGTGTTCAGTCTGAAAGTTCCACCATGGCAAATTGCTTATCGTCCTGCGAATCATCAATGCTTACAACAAAAGAACTGGAAAAAAATGATCCAATGCCATTAATTGAACTTAAACTCGTTGTAGTATAAAAAATGTTGAGAAACAAGCGTATGAGTAAAACATAAGACATTAGGGTTCAGGTTAAATATACACTGAAGTCCGATTTTCAACCAACTGGTGCTATTCTTTTTATTATTTTCATTACATTAATTTTTCTCTATTATCGTTAGTAAATAATGCTTCAATAAAGCCCTCTTTTCTTAACATAGGGAATCACAATCGTGGTTACTTTGAGGGATTCGCTGTCATCTTTTCAGTCGGGCAAATATGGAAAAAAGTCATGAATTCCAATTTGAAGAAAACATTCTTTTCAAGTTTTTAAAGTTATCAATTTTACCTGCTCTTGATCATAAAAAATGACGATAAAAAATTATTCTTCACAGACAAAAACACACACACATAGAGATACGAAATCCAAATAAATAAATAAATAAATCTATATTTGTCATTTTTAAGAGGTCAGACAGAAGCATAAATGATGAATAAGAATATTAGATGGGATCTCGTTTCCTTGAATACTTCTACTTTTTCCTTTCTGAGCATTAATCTCTTTGATTTCTTTCCTTCCCTTTCATTTACTTACCACGGCCACCCTTGTAGCGTGACACACCAGGCGCACCAGCAAACATACCACCCATTCCTGCCTTGCTCATAGCCATCCCCCCACGGCTGCCGATCCCACCCCCCGCTGCCTGCTTCTTTGCGGCCTCGGACTCGTTGTTAGTCACAGTTTCGTCAATCGAAAGAATCAAGCACGCAGCCTCGGTCGCACTCTGGAGGGCGTTGCGCTTCACCAATGTCGGCTCCCAGACGAAATTGGCAAGGCTGTCGCAGACGCCGCCGTTGATGATATCAACACCATACCAACGACCCGAGTTATCATCGCAGACATAGTGCTTTTGCCGCAACTTGTTAAGAATGTCCGTGCTGTCATGCCCGGCATTATCTGCTAATTGACGTGGAATCACTTCCAGCGCCCGCGCAAAGCCGCTAATAACCATCTGTTCCTTTCCACGGATACCGCGAGAGTACTCTCGTAGTACTGTACTCAGTTCCATTTCCAGAGCACCGCCTCCACCAACAATAGACCCTGTTTTAAGGGCACGTTTCACGATGCAGATAGCATCGTGTAGTGATCGGTCGGCTTCCTCAATAAACTGTTGTCCGCCACCGCGGAGAATGATGGTGGCTGTCTTGGAGTTTTTGCAGCCCGTGAAAAAATTATACCGCTCCGTACCAACCTGGCGTTCTTCAAAAAGATCGCAAGTGCCGAGCGCGGTATTAGGGACATTGCTGAGAGTAGACTGCACCGCACCACCTATGGCGAAAATCACGCGGTTCATGTCGTCGCTGGACACACGGCCCGCACAGAAGATATCACGATCAGCAAAGTACTGAGTCGCCAAGTCCCCAATAGGCAGACGCGATAGCACCACGTTGGCACCCGTTGCAACGCACTTGTCCAGCTTATCAAAAATGATTTTCCACTCAGCATCTATTATAGATTGATATTGTTTTGGATCCTTAATACGCACCTCGGCATTGTCCTTTTCAGCCTTCAGCTCAAGTTCTATGTTGAGAAGAAGAACTTTGGGTGAAACAAACATTTTCCGCTGTTGCTCGAATCCAGCGTAGGAAAAGGTCTTCTTGAATGCTACGCCATCCACTAGAATACTGTCAGTTACGCTCCCACCTGTCACCTTCTTGATGCCAATATAATCAAGATTCATGTCATTATCCAACGACTTCACAGCTTTAACCGCCATCTCTGCAAAAAAAGAACGCTGGTTATTAATGAGTTTAGAATTCAGGGCAGTTTCCGCGCAGTGAATTAAGTTTTCGTCAATCGTGTTTTTATTCGCCACGAATGGTACGCTCAGTTGGTCCAATGTCTTGAGCGCAACTGCCAAAGCATTGCGGTATGCTTTAATGATAAGCTGTGGAGCAATACCGTCTTCAATGCATTGCTTCGACTCCCTAAGGAGTTCCCCAGCCAAGATGACGACGGATGTGGTACCATCACCTACTTCGTGGTCCTGGGAACGGGCAATGTCCACGAGGCATCGCGCTGCTGGGTGAACGATGTCTAGCAAGTTCATGATGGTGGCACCATCATTAGAAATTTGGACGTCACGACCATTGTGGATCAGCTTGTCCATGCCGCATGGACCCAGGGTGGTCTTCACCATGTCGACAATATTAGTACAAGCATTTATATTGCTGATAAGTTGGGGTTTTCCTTGAGACGTATCAGTGCCCTCTCGGAGGAGAATTAGCTGAGGTTGAATCATTCCTTTTCCAGCTTACTGTTGATATATCCTTTGTAGAACGATTATAGCGTTTTTTTTTTAAGCTTTGAAAATAGTATAAATCGTTACAATAAAATATGTATTAAATCGCGAATATAAATGGTGCGTCGATAAATAGGAAGGAAGAACAAATATAAGAATATGAAATATAGAAAAAAATAACACAATTATTTGTGTACGCAAAGCTTTATGTTACTGTTGGTTCATGATGTTGTATCTCTGCAAACCCAATAATAATAATACATCGCATGGGTCTGTTCTACAAACCTACTCATTTTCTGTTATCTATTGTTTGTTTTGTAAGAGGGAGAAAAAAAATTCAGATTCCAGTGGCCCATCCTCTTCCAAGTCTGTGCAGTGGACAGCGTTACATATTCGATTTGTACCGTACTGGGAACGGATTGTGTGAGGAAACAACGAGTGTCCCATATCTGGATCATGAGGCCCACACACTGCCCGTAGCGCCGCAACGGCATTTTCAGCACGAACTTCAATAGCCCAAACCGGTCCACTGGAGAGCTGCTCAACCATTTTATTATACTCGGGCATTACTCCATTGTACACTTCAAGGAAATCCTCCGAATCGGCTCTGGTAAGCATGTACATACCCAAAGCAGAAATAGTAAAGGCCTCATCATAAAGTCGCTGCAAGATGTAACCTTGGTGACCACTTGTGATCGCATGTGGCTTAATTACACAGACTGCGCAGTTCGCTAAACAAGCAGTAGTTGGGCCTGGACCACGCATCAGTCCTTCCAAACTAGCAAACAATTCATCATCTTCTACTATGGAAACGTCCTGAGGGTACTCCTTACATACCTTCTTTGTTTTCTCGAGTGCCTGTGAGGCAGTCAAAACTGCCAGAATGACCCGTTGAGTTGTGTTAGAGCGTGTTGCGAGGTATTGCGGGAGGTCTAGCATACGGATATTCATGATACGTAGCTTTGAGTCAGTAAGTGAAGAGACTATATTTCCAGAGTTAAAAAAGCTGTTTTCAGAAATAATTATCATAACTGTCTCAGAGTTGGCGCCCAATTGCTTTCGCGTAGCTTCATCACCATAATCAATTACTTTCAGAGGGCGTGAAAAAATATAGACAATAGCTCCTATGAAAAGCTCATTTGTTGTAAGAGAGGGATACGCACAGCGTTTCAAAAAAAGGCGTTGCAACTTGAGGTCGTGCATCTCTATCGTATTATCATCTAAATGATAAAGAAGCTGATATGTGCGCGTCAAGGAAGCATGTGGATCGAAGTATTCCACAATAAAGCTAAGTCGGTTATAATTTACCATCACTGTAAGGGCCCTAACACTAAGGTCAACAAGTATAAAGAAACTCAAACAGAAGACCTACATATATTTTTAGGAACAAAAAGGAGGAGAATAAACAGTAAGAAATGCTATAGAGAGATTAACCCCCCCCCAAAAAAAATGCAAGTTAAATAGCGTAATTATAGTTAAAGAATTTATTATATAAAACTTGATTAGAACGAAATATATTTAACTGAATTATTAGTCATCTTAATTGTTCTAACTTAGGATTAAAAACTTGTAAACATTGAGATGTCCATATAAGGATCATATGTTTACTCAATATAATCATAGACCTTACGCTTAGCTAGTGGTTTAATGTTTTCAGTCTTCCTACGGGACATTTCCTTGAGCAATTCTCGCTTACCAGCTTTCTTCAAACGTTTAGAGGCACGCAAAACAGCTTTAGGGGCATTGCGCTGATTAGTGATTCGCTTCACTTCAATAAAATTGCGGTATCGATTTTTCAACGTCCGCATATAATTAAACGTATGCTTTTCTGGTCCTCTCAAAGGCCTAATGGGTTTGCTCGCATCTGATTTCCACACGCGCAGAACGGCATCTTCACTGCCACTAAAAATATAATTGTTGTCAGGTGACCATTTGACGCAAGAAACCCGCGCCATGCGCTTTGTATGAAACATCTCCAAAGAGTCAGACTTAACTATCTGATTAATATCCCATATCCGAATAGTGTAATCCTGGGATCCTGCCGCAAACATGTTCCCTGCAGGGGAAAAATCCACCGATGACACAGGTTGAATGTGACCTTGGAACACATTTCGAGGTCTACCAGGAACGCGAATATCAAACAAATAGCAGTTGCGATCATCACTTCCAGTTACAAAAACATTAGGATCCATCGGGCTCCACGAAAGTGACGTGGAGCACATTTCTAGAAGAATTTTGCTATGAGCCGATTCACTACGCGTGTCATAGATAATGACACCCCGATCAGACATACAGCAAGCTACAAGGTTCGTTTCTACCTTGTTGAACTGGCAACATGAAATAGTGTCATCACCCCAGGAAAACCTCTGAATGGGTTGGGTACGATTTATATCCCAAATACTGATGGTATCGGATGATGTACAAAATAAAGGCTTATGAAAATGATGGTCAATAGACGAAAAAGGAAAATCACCCAAATACTCTGCAACAGGCTCAGCGGCCTCCTCAGAGCTCCCAAGATCTAGGTCCCACATCTTCACAACTTTGTCTCGAGAGGCAGTAAAGCAAGCAACACCATCTGGCGAAATCACAGTACCTTCAATAGAATGGCGGTGGGCGTTGATAACAGCTCGTGATTTTTTTGTTAGCATATCCCATATTATCAGTTCACCATCAATGGATCCGGTAGCAGTGGTTGACAAATTTGTATAATCGGTTGCAATGGAACGAATTGTATCTTGGTGTCCCTGTAGAGCAGCAACAAAAGGTTTGGCAAACATTCTATCCAACTTAGCGGCACGCACAGCTCTTGTAAATTCAACTTGCTTTGCCATGGGGTTAAACTTAGGATCATAATTGCGGTTGGCTTTGGGAACCTCTGTAGAGCGATCTTTTGTCCATTCCAACTCTGAACGACTAATTGTTTTAATTTTTACCATTAATATATAATTATTTAAGAAAATTCTTAAATAATTTCAATATTAGAATAAAGTTTCAGACCAAATATCTAAAATTATAGAGATTATGAAAAATGAGTTAATAAAGGATAATATAGATGTATATTTATATACAATAGAAACCTTAGCGTGAAACCACAATATTAGAATATATAATCAGAATAATTCTATAACAAGATAATAAAGGTAAAATACATATCTTTGTATAGTTAAATAATTTTCAATTTAGCACTTGAATTACATGATCTGTAAAAGGTGCAAGCATCCTTTCAACAAGCTTTTCATAATGAATCACTCCATTTTCCTCAAATCCTTGAATAAGATCATGAAATTCGTCCTCGCGGTACTTTTCTCCCATGCTTGTCATAATATGTCGAAATTCTGGAACTGAAATGGTACCATTCGAATCCTTGTCGAATACGCGGAAAGCTTCCTTTACAGCTTCCATAGTGTCTGTTTTATCATCATGTTCGGCAACTAATTTCCTATAAGCAGACATGTCAATATCTGACGCTATGGACATTATTTGCTTAATTTTTTCCTCACTTGGATTCAACCCAGCCGCACGTAAAGCTATAGGAATCGAAACCCTTGGTATCTTGCCATCCTTTTGGAGAAGAGAGAAGGCTTCATCAATAAGAGGGAAATCCATCACGACAGGAATAATAATAATAATAATATAACGACTACAATAATGTTCTAAAATAATTGCTAATATAAAAATGTATGCATAATTAATCTGTGTGATTAAAATATAATACTCAAAGATTAGGTAGGAAAACAATTAATTTCATCATCCAGCCTTTTGAATAGTTTAACTCGAAAAATACCATATATTGATGGGATTCAATGAGTTTTTTGTTATCTTTTCGGATCAAAAACTTATTAATCTGATGCACGTAAATATATGAATATATTTATTTATTTATTAGTATAATTATTTACTAAAGTAGTTCGACGTCACCAATAAGTACCATCCCCAAAGAAAACCAAACCCACCAAAATCTGCGGAAGCTATCAAATACAGTTTCAATCTTCATGAATCGATTGTGAGCTTTTAGCCAATTATATTCGACGAAATTTGCTGGTATATGCACTTCTTTTGCATCCACATCCACAAAATATGACCTTCCCGGTGGAACAACACGAATCTGTTGCCCTTTTAAAAACCATCGATACAGGAAAGCTGATTTTAACATTGACTTTAGAAAAATTTCAAGATCATCTGGACTGATATAGTTAAGATCCGTCTTTCGCTTTGCATCATCCCAGAAACTTGTGTCGAACTCGTTAAATTTAACTAAAACACCAACCCGTACTCTCACTTTTTCAACATCTTGTGCTTGATGGGATTGTTGTTCTTCCATTTTTACTTGTAATGCTTGGAGACGAGGGGCAACAGTGGAAAGAAACGTTAGTATCTCCTGAGCTGACGCAGTATCAAGAATCTTCACATTTCCAGAAGACCAGTCAACTTTGAATGCACTACGTCGTTCAGCAGTCACAGTGGTATGATACAGTTTCACTATTTTTGGCTCTCGTTCTTGTGAAAACAGATTTGTTAAATCACCATGGGATACTATTTTTTTCTGTGGTGGTAAAGTTATCAAATCAGTGCTTAATGGGTCTTTTATGATATGAACTGACATGAACGAAAAGGCTGGAACCTGCTTAAACATAGCGTCATTGTCTAAAATCCGTTTAGAAAAGCTAGAATAATCTGCATCCTCGTTCCATGTCACACGCTTCCATTTCATAGATTTTGTAAGTTCTTCAGATTCATAAAATTGACCAATGGATCTTTCTGCATTTTCAGCCCTTTTTTTCTCATCTTCACTTCGTTCGCTAGTTTGCGAAGACTCACGATTCTTTAAAAATTCAACAATGTCTTTGAAATAAGCGACAAACCCCTTCTCCAGCTTGTAACGTTCCTTTCTCAAAATATTTAAGGTATGACGCTGTGATGTGAGCCATTCCAAAATATCGGGCTGAACTGTGATAAGTCTTCTAGAAAACATTGAGGGCTATAACAAATTTGAAGGAAAAGGGATTTACAATAAATCTTTTGTGCAAATAGATTTAGAATGTTTTTGATTAAAGTTATATTAAAGTATATAAGATGAAGCTCAATTTTTCAGAAGACTAGTTTTAATAAAGTTTTTTTCTCTTTGCATTTATGAGGCGGCTATGCTCGTTTATAAGAATATAAACCACTATTTATTAGGTGTAATTTTTTTTTCATAATAGACATATATTAGTTTGATAAAAACCAAAATATTCAATGTTGTTTCCATCATATAGATAGAGGAAAATAATGCATACCACTGAGTGAGAAGAAGAAATGGTTTATTGTAGATTGAAATTCATATAGAAATATATGTATATAAGAAAATTAAAAAGGGAAAAAATGATATAATCAACAAAAGTGATTTACAATAGTATACAATAATAATAATAATAATAAATGCTGGATCAAGCTTTATAGGAATTAAATCGATAAATAATATTTAGCCAGAAAGACTAAACGTATAATTGCTAAGGGTATAAATAGATGAAGGAATATTAAAGATTGGTGCAAAAAATGGCTACCTAAATATATATTAATAATATTCATAGTATTTATTTGAAATACAATAGATCAGAAAACTAAACACTATTAAACATGTGTTTTAAGTTTATAAAGCCTTCGGAAGTATGGGGGCGACATCTTTAGAATGTATTCAGTAAAAAAAAAAATTCTGATACTTAAAATGGAATTTACCCCCTCTCCTCCCACATATATAAACCTTTTTTTTGTGAATCAAATAAAATTCATTTGGTGGGGGATTTATTTAGCATATTGGAATAAGAAATTTACCCCCCAAATTTTTACATTGTAACTCATTTTTTTCGTAATAATATACGTAACTGAAATGGAATGGTAAAATTCGCCAAGTCTCCAATCTGACTTCCTTTGCCTCGATTGCCGGGGGGAAGGGGTGGTGTTGGCAACCAATAAAGTATGCAAATATTTGAAGTACACCTAGCCTTTTTTTCACTACGGATCCTGGCTGGAAATGGCGTAAAAAAAAATGATTGTGTATTATTTTTAGCAATAGCTTTCTAAATTCACACTCTGCTCATTTTTTTTTTGACATACACATAAGGTTTCCTCAGCGCCTTGCAGGATAAAGCGTTTAAAGTTCAGTCTCCTTTCCAAATATTGAAAAATCGGGGCCATTTGATTAAAATGAGCGTATAAATATAAAGAACTAATAGGTAATTTTTATTCACTTATTGTTAATTATTAAATATTAAAAAGTGCATTCATCTGTTGGCATTTTTATATGCAGGTTTATTTTTATAAAAATCCAGGATTTCTTTATCATCTACCAGTTTTTTTTCCTTTTTAGCTACATCTGGAAAAATTAAACTATGAATAGTGAATTTGCAATTGAGAAAGAAATTCTCACGGCGAATTCTTTTTTTTGTAAAGTTAATTATTTGTATCAGCCTTTACATGCCGAAACAAAGGAATATCTAGATTCATTTTTTCACAAAGATGGATTAATTAACCTTTGTGATCAAATTTTTGGACACCATCATAAATCAGATTTTCAGGATGAAAATCCCTGCTGGATGGACATAGCAAATAACTCGCCAAATTCCTCAATGGCATCGACACTTTTTCGCTTACTCGCTCCGAGCACTCCTTTCATTAATCTTTTAGACTCATTTTCGTTACCGTCAGTCGATTTTTCAAGAAAAGCAAAATGCTCTTGGAAATATGAAAACGTAAAAAAGTCAGAAGAAGGTCATGCCAAATACACTATAGACTTTCCATTGTCGACATTATATCCTAATTCATTTAGTCTTTTAGGCGAGCCTAACAATGTTAGCTTATACAATATGACACGGTCTAAATGTCCGCCTCTGTTGCTTGTTCCTTTTTGGGTTCCACCTTTGGTGACACGTAAAGAAGCCTCTTCTAACCAAATAATGACATCTTTACCTTGTTTGCCACTTCCATACTTTATTTTGCGTATGTTTTGCTATTCTATGCGTCGATGTGAGAAGCATGGGAATGAAATTATCTCGAGCCGATTTGTTGGCATTGTTGGTTGGATGCATCGCTTGCATGAGAATTTAAACTCAATTTTTTATCAAAAAGCTTCTATCGAATTTCCATTTTATCATCGCGTTCTAACTGCCTTCATTCAATACTATACAACCCCCTCACTATTTCGAAATCTTTCGTCGAAAATTGTCTTTGAGGAAACTATGTGGACCTCTGCTGACGCTATTGCTGCATTATTAATCTGCTCGCCTGTTCTATTCTCGAATAGAAATATATCACAATCCATAGTAGAATGTCGTCGAAATCCAATTTATGACTCCTCTATAGTAGCCCAGCTTCTATGTACAAGTCCTTTTTTAACTGAAATATTTAATACGATGTACATAAATTGTGATAGCAAAAATAGGAACACGTTTGCTTTGCAAAGAACTGAATTTTCAAATGATACCCTTTCCAAATCTGTTAATGACATCATTTATATTTATTTGAGTTTTTACAGAAATTGTCTTATTATCTTGAGAGAATGCCTTTTGTCTTTGGATGGATTTCCTAATGTCAATTTCGTCCATCTTAATAACCTATTGGAGCTGTGGTTAACCCTTATGAACCCCTTGTCACGAAAAGGAAACTTTGTTGATGATCACTATATACTTTGCCATTTTGAAGCATACACATGCATTACTCTTGACGTGCTGAAGTTGTTCACAAAAGGGTCTTTGATAAAAACTCTTGATAGAACAGGAGTTTCTTTATTTTCAAGATGTCTACAAATTTTATCCACTGAAAACTTTAAACAGTTGATTTCTACATTTGAAAGAGAACCGATCACTGAGAACACTCATTTATTAAATATATTTTTCAAAAACTGTGTTTTAAATTGGGTTGAGGATCAAGATGTTGTTTTGCAGATGGCAAACTTTAAGAGTGATAAAATAAGTTCCATCGCTGCTCATGTTTACGCCTTACTAGAACAAAAATCGGCTACATGTAAGCAAAATGGAATGGAAGAAGATATACGAATATGTTTGACGTACATTGAACATATATTTCCTGAATCTAAACTTCTAATTGACAAATGGCGAGGTTTCTTAAACAGTGTTGTGCCTGAAAATATTTATGTTGATAGCTCCCCTTCATTTTTTCAGAATGTATCGGCAGCCCATATTTTGTCTGAATCAGACAAAAACAGTTTTTTTAAAGGTCTCAAACATCGACGCGTTGTTTGTTCTGATCATATCCGTTTTCCAACGAAAAATAGAAAAAATAATGGAGATTATCTATTATTTAACATTACTATGCGCCAGGAATTTCCATTAATTATCGGATTTACTATTTATTTGGACACATTTCTTAATAAACTAACTGAGACTATATTTTCTAATTGGATTCCAAAATGTGAAAACGGGCATGATTTATGGCTAATATGTTCTAGAAATTTTTCATGTTGCAATCATTCTTCAGAAATTGCAATTTGGGAATGTCGCATATGTGTGAAAACTTATGGCATATGTTGTAGATCAGAGCCGATTGTAACCATTAAAGGAGAAAGATTACAACTCGCCAACGCACCAAGTCAAACTAAGTTGTGTTCATGGTGTGGAGAGGTTTCTAACCCCAATGAGAATTTTTTTATTTCAAATAAACAGGACACTATTTTTTTATGCTCTGGCTGTGCTTCAAGACCTTTTAAGCCTTGGTGTACTAGGTGGATGGCAGCATATAAAACGTGGAGTTTTTTTTTCATAATAATTCCATTTATCCTTGTGATGTGGGCCTTGTGAAGCTATGACCAACTAACCTTTTTCTTTAATTATCAGGCTGTGCGATGAGAACTTTTGAAGTTTTCTAAATAATTTTTATATAGAAAAATACGTAGATGTATGGTCTATAATCCAATAGATTCAATATATTTTACATATATATTATTATCAATATATATATATATATACAGAGGAATCTGCTTTTATGATTCTTTGACAGTATATGTTTAATTTTATTATTTATCAAACCATTAAAACAGCTAAGAACAATGAACATTTTTAGTTGTTTGTTTATTAAAAAAAACTCACTTTTATTGTCATCTTGTTCTACATCTGAAAATTAATTTAGAATATAGTATTAAAAGGGAATTGAGTGTGTTAATTTTTAGGGTATTAAGATCAAAATGACTGAAGTTTTAAAAGAACTTCCGCTAATGCGAGCGAAAGCTACGGCTTTATATAATCAAACAAGTGTAGGCCCTAATGTAGGTCCTGGCTCATATAATATTGACTATAAAATATCTTCTAACACGGCATATGCACCATTTGGTATGACATCAGAGCGTTCGCCGCTGGGTTTTAATGATGTAAAGACGCCTGGGCCAGGCGCGTATGATATTTCCCCATCGTTGGTACCTCATAAAAATGGCTTAGCATCTTGCCCTTTTCTGTCTACTTCGGTAAGATTCCCCTTTTTAGGGGAGAACGGTCAACCAGGTCCAGGGGCTTATGAATTAACTGATAAGTGGCCAACGAAGAAACGCTGCCGAGGATACAAATTCCCGATCGGAAGAGAGGATTGTGGTTCTCCGCTGGAAGTGGATGTTGATTCGAGGGGTTGTGAAGTATTTGATTTACCACAGCCACGGAAAGCGGCTCCTGGTATTGTTAACTTTGATCGATATAGTTGCCGTGATAATTCGCAACAATCTTCAACACCTGGACCTGGCAGTTACGAGCCCAATTCAAAAATTCACACCCTCTACGATTTCAAGCCATCTTCAATGTTTGCGTCAACGACAGCTAGGTCCCAAGTTCCCATAGCGAAAGTTCCTGGCCCCGGTACTTATGAAATCAAGTCAGCCTTTGCCTATTCAAAACCGATCGAGCATTTCGGCTACACTGGTCCACGATTTCCGAGAAGCACAAATAGTGAAACCCCCGGCCCGGGACACTACACCGCCGAGATTGCCCCTCGGCGCCCTCGACCTTTAAATGCATCACAGGCATTTCCCTTTTCTTCCACTGCAGATCGCTTTACGGATAAAACAGGCTTCCCCACACGGGTTTCTGAATTTTATGATGCTAATCCACTGCCAAAGAAGCTTTACTTTGGAGGTGAATCTCCTTTCGGATCCACAGTTCCACGTTTCCATCAAGCCGCCTCTATGAACGATGTCGGAGATCGCGATCCTTCCCCTTCCAGCAGGCCTCTAAGATTTCCACATCGAGTTATGCGTACTCAAAATTCTCTAGATCACCGTCCCAAACCACCTCCGGAGCCTAGGATATTTTATGATATAAAATATGACTGGCCGAAACCTACTACTTTAAAAGGCACATTTGGGGATTCCACAAGGAACGGAAATCCTTTAGTGAATGATAATCTTCCTGGGCCTGGAAGTTATAATTTAGAACCTCATCAGAATATTGGGCACTCTAGTTGGAGCAAAGATCTTCGCTATACGGGTAACACTGCTAATAGTACTCCGGGTGCAGGATCATATTATCACGAATCAACATTACTAAAGAAATCACACAATCAAACAACTGCATTTCACACAACATGGTAGTATGCGTGCGCACTTTTATTTTTAAAATTTACATGCATTTTCACTTTAACGATGAATTTGGAAGACTTTGTTATGTAAAATATTCACTACTTTTTTCAGAACTTATTAGTTTCCTCATCTCTTTCTCTCCTAACTGAATGTTTTCATGTAAAAAAAAAGTAGGTGAACCCAATTTTGACTGATACGAATATGCTATATTTTTTTTTTTGTGATTTTGATGCATGCTATCCCAACTATGATTATATTTATATTACAACTACTACTTCCACTAGCCCTCAAATTTTTACTCTTATAGAAAGCACGAAATACGTAAAATACTGTTTTCAATTTTTTTTTTTCTTGTAATCCAAGTTGACTTCTGATATTATTAGAATAATTAATTGTCTAATTGTTTATTATGCTATGATCCCAAAGGGTATTTCAGTTACCTCGCGCTGGGTATCGCGTCTTCCCCCCTTCGCGCGCCGTGCTCTTCAAGTGGATCAAATGGAATTTGATTCTGCGCTTTCACAAATGTACTCCCTTTGTATCAAGCCAACATTAGTTTGCAAGATGAGTAAGGCTCGAAAAATGACCAAAAACCATTATTATAGAGATGATCCTGCCTTTTTGGTGATACAGCTTCTGTTTATTTTGCTAACAACCTGTGCGTACGGGGCCACATTTGCTGAATCCCTTTCACAAGTTATTGGCTGCTTTTTATACGAGATATTTGTGGTCTATTACTTGTGTGGAGTACTCTTTGCATCCCTTATTTGGATCACTGTAAACCGCTTTTTAGTCGATCCAAGTCAGATCAGCGAAGCTTCTCGAGAGACGGAATGGCAATATTCTTTTGACGTGCATTGTAACGGTTATTTTATTTACTTTATATGGACAAAGGTAGTCCAATTCCTCCTTTTACCAGTTTTGTACTCTGATCGTTTCTTTATATCACAAATTCTTTCAAATAGTCTATATCTTTTGGGGGCGGCTTTGTACTTTTACATTGTATTTCTGGGATATTTGGAGTTCCCCATGCTTATACAGCAACAGCGACTCATGTATCCTGTTCTGGTGCTAATACTGCTCATAGTTATTATTACCCTTTTCTCGCACACAAACTTGGCCATGTGGAGTATAGATTTTTATTGGCTACCAGCTGGAAAGGGCAATTGATTGTTGTAGTGGTATTAAAGCACTGCATCAATATTTGTATACCATTGTTTATCGATCTTGTATCCTTTGCTATGGTACATAAAAATCTGTTTTACTAAGAAAGTTTGAATACTCACCCAATAGCTTTTACAAGTCAACACATGAATGTATTTCTTTGCTTTTACTTTTTTTAACCTTTCAGTAACCCATAGGAAGACTTTATCCCCGCTAGATTCTTATTCAACAGAAAGGCGGTATAGGGGCATTATACTGAATTTAAGCGCATTGAGCGATTTTAGTTCACTCTTCCCTTTCTCTTGACTTCCTTTGCGAGGCAAATAAAAGCAGAATTTGAAATATATGCTGCGTCTTACATTACGGTGTCGCCGTTATCCATTTAATAAGCGAGGCCCTCGTGAACGCAAGTCTTGGAAGCATCACGTTCTTACTGAGCCCCCGAAGCCCATTCAATGGCGTGATCCAAAAGTTTGGACAAAAGACTTGATCGAAATGAAGAGCTTCGATCCTCCACAATGGGATCTTTGGCTCAATAGAGCTCGTTCTGAAGATATGGATGAAGTCCTTCAACCTTTTATGGACATGCCTCAATCTCTCAAAGATCGACGTTATGACGTACCGTGGTGGGCGAACCCTTTTGGGGCGTGGTATCTACAGAACGTGCTTTCAGTTGAGCTGCTGAAGCTGCCAAGTCGGACGAATGCGGAGAAAATAGCCATTTATCGAAGCCAAAGAAACTCATCATTACAAAATATGGAAAAGGGGTCACCTGTAAATGACGATGTGTTGATTAAAAACATTATCAAGGAGCGGTGGCGAACGCTAGAATTTGGCGATCATGAAGCTGGGTTTCCTTGTACATTTAGTGATTATATTCAATTTCTAAACGAGTGGTTTAAGTCTTTAGATGAGGAGGGTATGCAGCGCTTACGCGAGCATTTCGATCGTCGAATTCGGCCTCTTCTTGCAGTCATGTCGCACGTTGATTTGTTGTGGCTTGAGGCCCTGACGCAGAACAACGTACAAAACAAGGAACTATTAGAACGCCGCATAGGTTTCCAAACGTCTTTGGGTACTCCAGAGTTTTTTGACATCTCCAAACGCCTTCGGTACGAAATCAATGAAGATTACAAAGTGCGCGATGAGCTTGGACCAGAATTATTTGCGTTGTGGAGCAAGGCTCCTGAGCGATGGCCACCTGAGCGACTGGCGAAAATGTATGGGCTAGATTTTACACTAGTCCGTAAGCTTTTAGTCTGGCATCACTTTAAAGCATGCTACGATGCTTGTGTGGAGCCGGATTGGTCACTGCCGAAGCGTCTTTTTGCGCTCGAGTGGATCCGTGACGTACGTGCCAGAAAACAAGGGATGTTCTACGGCAAATTGCGCTTCGCAGAACAAAAAATAACCTTTTACAGCGATAAGTTTCTTTTCCGGGATCTGGTCAACCGCCGTGAGGCTAGCTATGCTAACGTATGGGAGATGGACGATCCTTATCGTTTTTTGCAAACTGAACAAGATTATGAAGACTACTGGGGAGATAATTATGATCTTTACCGTCGAATGTTTCCTGAAATGATTGGGCGCACTGGTGAGCCGGTGCAGCAGTACAGCCAAATGCCTATTTGGGCTGGTCCACATCGCGACCATGCTAACAAATCCGAGTACAACTGGATGTTCGCAGAGATCGGCGTTAACGTGGGTCATGAGCCCTTGAAAAAGCTAGAGTTGGATCCTACAAACGAGAAAAGACGTCGATTTGTAATTCGCCAGCCGGACGGCTCGCTCCGATCGGCAAAGATGTCAGAGATGCGAGCATGGTACTGGAAGGAAGAATGGGCAGACTTCCGCTTTTGGGCCCCTAATATGGAGTGGGGTATCGAGAATACTCCTTACCTAGAACAATATCAAGAACACGTACCGGATACGCCTGATGCGGACTTCCGAAAACAACGACGTATTCAATCTCGTCCTGTGAAGTGGTTTTATGAAAGTCATTACACGCGAACTGGAAACTTTGCAGGATTTGAGCCCACTCGTTTTATGCAACGGAGAACTAAACGTGAGGTTCGATGGCCTGATGTGATAAATGCAGCTGTGCAAATCCAGAAATCCAAACCTAGCGCTCACGTCTTCAAAGCGATTCCTGAAATTTAGACCTTATTGGTTTTAGAATTTCTCTCTTTTTGTCCTCCTATCTTTGTGTTCTGAAGTTACGTGTTTGGGAATTTTATGAAGTGGAAAAAGACACTGCAATAAACGCTTGAGCTTCTTCTTTTGGGGGGGCTTTGCGGTTAGGTGGTGAAGAGGTGCAAAGCGTGACCATTTCTTCAAAATTTTGGGAGAATCGCCGATACATTTTTTCCTTATCTAATGAGGAAATTTTCAACGCACTCTAGCAAATAAGCTGTTTTTACTGATTTTGTTGTATCATTCCCCCTCCCTCTGGTTTATCCCTCGAGTACATGTGTTCTTCTTCTCTCTTTTTTTTTCTTTTACCTTGAGGCACACAGGAGAACCTGCGAAAAATAATACGCGAATAGTCAAACTTTTGGTCAAACTGTTCTATATAACGCGCTGTTGTGCTTTTTTCATTCTTAATAAATTTAAATTCAATCTATAATCGTTACTCATCACAGGCGTATAATTTCAAAAAGAATATGACCAATTATTCAGATCTCGATTTTCCCCCAGGTTTTACTGAAGATGATACGAATAACGGGCCTTTGCTTCCAGATCTACACGATGAAGAGGAGACTGAGCAAGAGCGAGTAAAGGAGTGGCGTCGCCACAACACCCAGCGTTTTGGCTATCGCGCAGCCTATTCAACCGCAGTTAAAGAAAAGGATTTCATGCCACCCGAATTTATTCGAAAAGTGGTTAAAGATAACGGTGATTTGGGAGGGAAGCGCTTTAAATCCGAACGGAAGCTGTGCGTGGCCATGTTGCAGTATGTTCCCTTGGCGCTGTATAAGCTGCTGGAGAACATGCCAATGCCGTGGGAGGAGGCGCGGTACGTCAACACCGTTTACCACGTTGGGGGGGGTTAACGATTGTTGAGGACACTCCTGTCGTGGCGGAGCCGGTGTATCTTTCCCAATGGGGCTCGGTCTGGACAAAGATGCGGATCCATAAGGTGGAGCTCGGCATGGAAGGCGGTACCTTCCGCCGCATTGTCCATAAAGGTGACGATAATGAGCCACCTTTGGATTTTGCCAATTATCTTATGGATCGGGACCCACCACCTCCCTTGAGGGATGAATTGGAGGGCGAGGATAATAGTGCGGTTTCAGATTGGTTATATGAACCGTTCCCGCGTCTTGTGTCATCAAATCAAATCCACGGACCGCGCCGGCCGAGGGGGTACTATTTTAACATAGAAGTTGTAGAAAATCTCCTTCGGCTGGCCTTTCCTATTATACCAATACTAGATGACCGTAACTATTATTACTTGTGGAATCTTAAATCATTCTACACCGCAAAGGCTATGCATCTGGCTATTCCTAGAGGACCTAAATTTGAACCGCCACCCTCGATCAAGCAAAAAGAGGATGATGATGATTGGACTGAATTCAATGACTTGCGGCGTGTAATTCACCGTGATAACCCGCTCAATCCCCGCTTCACTATGCTCACAGAGCGGCAGATTGCCTTTCCTTTTCTGTACGGAAGTGAGGTGAGTGGAGTCCAGGTGGCACCCTACCGCTACTCAGCCTCAGTTCGTGTGGAAAACGACGACCCAGAGTTACCATGTTTCTCATTCCATCCGTCTTTGAATCCTATTAAATCCTTAGAGAAGAAGTACACGGAAAGAGATTGTATTAATGGAGTTCTGTGTTCCTCTATTGTCGCATTTGCACTCACGCAACAACAAATAAGGAATATTGACGGATCTGGGAAAACCGATGAGGGAAAAGGAAATGAAGGTATTTTACCATCCATAAGCTTGCCCCAAAACTTTGAGCCTTTTTTGAGCGAACTTCCCTTAGAAACATCGCAAACTAAAGCTGCTATGACCCTAATCTTTGCACCGAAGCCTTTTAACGCGTTTGAGGGGGGCTTGAAACGTCGAGTGGATGTTCCTTTATGTGAAAGCTTTTATCAGGACCCACCTGATTTACTCACCTCGGACACAAGCGAGAAGACGCTCCGGAGCTATACCCAGTTGCTTAAGCATTATGTTAAGCGCCATTTGCATAAAAACCGTAAGCATATGCATTCCACTCCTGACGACGACGACGTCAAGATGTCCGGAAAGACTCGTCTAGAACGTCTTGCAGAGATCAAGTACTTTGCTCGAACAAAAATGGATTGGCTGGAAGCCGCACTGCAGCTTATGCATCAGGGTCACAACATGCTTGTTCAGTTCATCAACATAAAGTGCTTGCCATATGTACACATTGACTACAACTTTGAGGCAAAACCGACTCGCACGTTGACCACTAAGGAAATCAAAAAGAGTCGTTTAGGCCCATCTTTTCACCTCGTGCGAGAGATGCTAGGGTTTATGAAACAAATCATCGATTTACACGTGATGTACCGGCTCGGACGCAGCGATGCTTTTCAGCTGGCCGATGCTCTACACTATTTGTTTAATCACGTCGGAGTTCAGACAGGTATATACCGTTATAAGCTTCGTACCATGCGGCAGATCAAGCGCACCTCTGACTTAAAGCATGTGTTGTACAGCAGGTTCAACGTTGGTGGGGTGCCGAGTGTACCAGGCTGCGGGTTCTGGGGACCTTCATGGAGAGTATGGGTTTTCTTTTTCCGCGGGATGACTTCACTTTTACAGCGCCACCTAGGGAATCTCACTGAGCGCGTGCTTTATGGGCGAGTTCAAAAAGACAAATACACTGGAAAGCGTGTCACCCGCCAGCGAGTGGAAACTTACAAAGATGTCAACATCAAAGAGGCGTTTAGGCGAGAGCTACGTGAGATGCTTCCGGAACATGTCAAGGGTTCTGTCATCGTGACGATGGATCAACACATGAACGAAGCGTTTCGCCACTGGCGTGCAGGGGTGCCGTGGTCTATCCCTGGATTGGCGAAACCTCTAGAGGATCTGGTAAAAAAGTACGTTAAGTTGCGCTCGGAAGAGTACATGCGAATTGCACAACTGCAGAGGCAGCGCATTGCGGATAGCGACATGGTTGACAAACGGGCATTCATGAAGAATCTCGGCCGCCTGACACGCTTGAAGATGATGGAAGAGCAAGAGCGACAGCGGCTGTACATCCGTGGTGAAGATAAGACAGCTTTGACGCCGGATGTGGCAACGGAGATTTACCGTATGATGGCCAATTGGCTTGATGATCGTGGATTTAAAAAAATATCTTTCCCTGATCCGTCGAGAACGGCTGAACTCTCACTGCTCAAGCTCTCTCTCAATCGCCTCCGGGATCAGCATAACATTGCCAACCGCTTGACAGCGAGGCAACGGGAAGAGCAGACGCGTATAGAACAGGCCTTTAATGCGCCGCATGAAATGTTATCGCGCATCGTCGACGCCTTAGCGCATCAGCGCCGATTCAAGAATCTGGAGGTCGAGTACATCGACAATTTCTCGAACCTTTATCCCATTTACAACGTAACCCCGACGGAAAAGATGACGGATGCATTCCTTGATCAGTACCTGTGGTATAAGGCGATGGGAGTCCAGCGCATGTTCCCCAATTGGGTAAAACCATCCGATACGGAACTCGCACCACAGCTTGTATACCGCTGGTGTGAAGGCATTAACAACAGCCCTGATATATGGGATGTCAGCCATGAAGAGTCCGTGGTACTTCTGCATGCCGACTTGCAGCAGGCATTTTATGACAAGGTGGATTGGATTTTCTTCCGTCCACTGCTGGAGTTGATTATGGACAAATCTCTTGTCGATTACATCGTCAGCCGTCACGACGTAGTGGTCGAGTTCAAGGATATGAGTTACCATCATCACAAAGGTCTCATTCGTGGGTTCATGTTCTCATCGTTCCTTGCCCAGTATTGGGGCCTGATGATGGACATTCTTTTAATAGGAACTAGACGAAGTCAGGAAATTGCAGGGACAGCGCTCAAGCCTAATCCCTTTTTGAGTTTTTTCCGCGATCCTTTCCTTGCGGTGTCGCACCCTATTCGTGGTTATTGCCGCTATCACAATGAAGTTTACATCCTATTACGCTATACCAAGGCTGAGGCTGATGATATTCGCCAGCGCTACCTGAAAGAGACGAACTCAGACCCGACTATGCGCTCTAAGAATGCATCCGTATATGGATTCAAGAATCCCAAACAATGGGCTCGCGACGCACGTATGCGGTTATTCTTGAATGATGTCAATCTTGCGCGCGCGGTGTTGTGGGAGTTTAGCGGACGTTTGCCACCAGCTTTGGCTGAGATTACTGATGAAAAGAGTTTTGTAAGCGTTTATTCTAAAGATAATCCCAATCTTCTATGTGATATTGCCGGCTTTTCTATCCGCCTGTTGCCAGTGGCACGCACGGAGACGGAAGTTCTGGAGAATGAGTCGATGTGGAGCCTGCGCAACCATACCACTAAGGATATCACCTGCCGTGCGTTTCTTCAGGTGACGAAGGAACATATTAACATGATGCGTAATAAGGCCCGCCGGACCGTCATGATGGTGGGAAGCTCAACTTTTCACAGCATTGCAGCCAAATGGAATGCATTCATAACAGAAGTGGTGCCTTACTACCGTGAGGCGATCCTCGGATCGGAGGAATTGCAGATGGTTTTGGCCATGGCGGAGCATCGAATGCAGGCTCGCGTTATGATGAATTTAAACTCGCGCGCCAAGTCACGTTTTCCTGCGGCAATGTTTTACGCACCATCCGATTTGGGAGGTCTGGGTATGCTGTCTGTAGGTCACTCATTTATTCCGGCCAAAGATACGGTGTACTCCAAAACAACTAGTACCGGCATACAATTTTTCTACTCAGGACTCACCAACGATGAAAATATTCCGATTCCTAATATTTTGCAGTACTATACCCCGTGGGAGACTGAGTTTCGGGAAAGTGAACGGGCTTGGCTAGAGTTTCGCTCACGCGAGCGGGAAGCAAAAGCTGCTGGTGGTCGGGTTTCGTTGGATGACATTGAGGATATTATTGACAAGGGTGTTCCCCGCGTCCGTGTGCGCTTCTCACGTAATGCACCCCTCTTCCACTTTAACGTTGGGTTTCGGCCTCGTATGGAATTCCAACGCTATCAAGCTGGAAAGTATCTGAAAAATTGGTGGTTTCACCATGAACATGACGGAAATATTTGTGGTGGCGTTTTGGAGAAGTACCGAGCGGATATGAACATCGCTCTCGGTGGTGTTGAGGCTATTTTAGAACATAGTCTTTTTAAGGGCACTGGATTCCCATCATGGGAAGGTATCGAATTCAACCGCGAAGGTGGATTTGAAAATACTAAAAAAGACTCAAAACTTGCGAAGCAGCAGCGCGCGGGTCTTTCCAAGGTTCCGAATCAACGATTTGCACTCTGGTGGAGTCCCACTATCAACCGTTCCGACGTTCAGGCTGGATTTGAATCCAAGATCGAAACCACTGGTGTGTTTATGCATGGTAAGCTCGAGACCATTAAAAAGTCGCTGATCAAGATTTTTAGCCAATCTTTGTGGGAAAAGATTCACGCCTCTGTGGTGAATGCCATCGCGAGTAAAATGAAAGACTCGATGATGGATCTGTCGGCGGCGTCCGTGACGCTTCAGCAGCAGCATCCTCAAAAGTCCTATACCTTTACCAGTTCTGCCGCGGATATTATCATGGTGAGTGCAGCTCGCTGGCCTGTGACCAACAAGCCCACCTCTCTTACGGATGAGGTGTCTGACGAATACAAAGGCCTCACAACAGGTAAGTTCTGGATCGATATCCAGCTTCGTTGGGGCAATTACGACAGTCACAACATTGCGGAATACGCCCGAAAGAAGTTTTATGAATACGGTACCTCCAAAATGTATCCCTTTCCATCCGGTGTTATTATTGCCATTGACATCGCTTACAATTGCCACAGCGCCTTTGGGCATTGGATACCAGGGCTCAAACCGCTAATGGTGAAGCTCATGCAGGCCATCATGCGAAGTAGCCCGGCACTAAACACGCTACGCGATCGTATGAAACGTGATCTCGGTCTTTTTAGCTCCAACCCAACCGAATCTAGTTTGTCCGATACGAATATCGCCGAGCTCTTCTCTGGTGGGATGCGGACATGGATTGTCGACGATAGTGCGACCTACGTCACCAGTGAGCAGCCCACCCCAGACGGTGGGCGAAAATTCAAGTCCGAGAATGGTGCCGTGTTAATCTTTGAGCCAGTCAGTGGGCAGCTCCGAATGAGTGTGGTGCACAAAAGCGTTTTTTCTGGGATGAAGCGCCGTTCTAAGCTTGCACGCGAAAAGGCCGCCGAGGAGATCGCGTCGTGGCTTCGCAGCACCCCTCCCAACGAGCGTCCTGGGAAAATCATCGTAACGCGCTCTCGGTTTCGGCAAACCTTGCATAATATGTTGGTACTGGACCATCCCAACCTAATTATTGGTCAGAGCGAACTCAACTTGCCTTTACCGATGATCCTACGTCATACCCGCCTCGTTAACCTACGCATCACGGCGACCGAGAGCAAGGGCTGGGAGTTTTGCCTTTATGACGAATGGCAAATGTCTTTGCAATTTCAACCTATCACGTGCTTTAACTTGCTCAATCTCGTATTGCGTGGGTACCACGTGAATTTGATGCGCACACGACAGATACTCGTACCGGACTTGCATGTCGAGGTGTCGGCTTCGAACTTTTGGCCAACATTTGGGTCGCGGCAGGAGTGGGAGATCGTGTCGACTCGATTGGAAGAGATGATCATTGCGGATGCCGCTCGTCGGATGAATGCCAGTCCAAACGATTTCACCGAGAAAGAGAAGGAGGGTATTCTGCTTGGAAAGCGCATGACAAATGTCGAGATACAGGAGGCCGAGATCAAGGAGATCGAGTCCATGCGGCGCACCAAGGTGCCAGAAAAGACGGTCGAATTAACCACCCGCACGGGCGAGGTCGTAACGCGCAAAATCAAAAGCGCCTTCGACTTTGGCGGTGCCGCCTTGGAGAGCATTTGGCGTCCCCGCTCTCTCGCGAATGCCGCGTTTCTGGACGAAAGTACCTCGCTAAGACTGGACGTGGCAGGGACCACCGCGGGAAGTGACCAGCTGATTCTTCCCGAAGATCTCCTGCAAAAGCTCTTGGCCGCGTGTGATGTGAAGGTGCAGTGCTGCGCCTACCTATTTGGCCACGCCCTGCCGGACTCCCCTAACATTAAGGAGGTGCTGTGTGCGATGATACCGCCCCAGGCCGGGTCCCCGCAGGGGATTCGCACACCCACCCGAATTCCCTTTGAGGCGCCCGAATTGCAGGATGGCAACTTGGCGTTTTTGGGCATCGTGCGGACAGGGGAGTCTGCAGTGCTGATCGATTCCTACGATTTGGCGATGCAGGGACGCCTGTTGAGCGCGAACGATGGAATCGCTATGGAGGGATTTCTGACGGTCATCCTCGGGATGTCCGAGGATGGGGTGAATATGCGCTGTTTCTCCATCACCCCAGATGGCATCACCTGGGCACAGGCCGAGCATGAAAATATCTTGAAGCGAAGTCCGACAGAGATTCCGGTAGAATACTATAACCCTAGTCGAGGGACTCTTTCCACAAAATTGGCAGGGTTTTTCTTGGTTCCCACTGATCGGCTGTGGAACTATTACTTTAAAGGAGCACTTTGGAAGGATACAAGCGAGTTCGAAGTAACAGTAGATATTCCGAAGGCTTTTTTTGCGGCAATGCATCGAACCGAACATTTTCTGAGCTTTCTTCGTCTACGGGAAAAAGAAGATATGATTGATATCATGGATGAAAATGACGTCTTCGACAATGAAGCAGGTTTCCTGTAGTAGGTTACTGAACCGATCATCGCAGTAAGGGGCATAAATGGAAATAGGGAATTCTTATGCCAACAGCGTGAATCTGATAAAATAGGTGGTTCTTTTTAGCAAGTGGTAAAAGGAATGGGCGTAGGACCCTTTTAAAGTATTCACTTTCTCCCTAAAAATACATGCATTTATGGAGGGAAGGGGAGTAAGCAACTAAAAAACTTGAAATTAGCCTCTACTAACGCATCATTTCACCTAAAAATGCATACACGCTGGGGTGAAAAAAATGAATTTATAAAATCATATGCCGCGTTGGGGATATATTTCTTTCAAGTCATAATGACAATTGCACACTGCTCCTTTTCCCTCTGTGTCTTTTCTTTCCTTATTAAGACAAGTCTGTGACAATAATATATACATGCGTGTATATTTATTATAAAGACTTTAGTGACGATTTGCATTATATTTTGTAAAAATAAAAATATTAAATTCAAAAAAAGAAGGAAAAACACGACAATCAGAGCGCAATTAGGCTTTTTCATGTATATATACTTCTTTCTGTCTTAATTATTTTATATATTGTGACGTCAAAGTTAGCAAATAGTATAAAATATAGTTTTCAAAAATAGTATAAGCCATGAATGCATCTACTAGCCAAAGCATTACACTCGATAAAAAAATAGATGGAAGACATCAGAACCATCTAAACCTTAAGGGGCAGGTGCCCCAAGATGACAGAAAAGCAAAGAGCGGTGGGTTGTCTGCTCAGACTTTTGAGAA